GAGGCTCAGCGTGTTCAGGGTCAAGACACTAAGACGTAAGATGTTGTTCTGAGAAACATCCCAGGAGGAATTCCAGCCACAGAGCACACCTGGCACACTTGCTGGTGCCTGGACCTACAGTTGTGATGTCAGGGAGAAGGGGAGTAAAATGTTGAGCTTGATCAAGGAGAGTTGGGCAAAGTAGGTCCTGTGGATGTGACTTTCCTACAGGTAATCCCACTCAGGCCACATGGGAACCACTGTGGGTGGGTGATGCTGAGCCTACAGGTATAGATTTGAGTTTTTCTCTCCTCTTATATCTCAGTGGACATTTCCAACTAGATAAGGTGTAGGAGAGGTTGAGTGGAATACGAGGGACCAGAAACTCCTCAATATGTGCATGAAGTAAATGCATCCTGTGAAGCTCTTTAGAAGGACCCAAATCATCTCTTGTAACAACAAAAACTGTAGGTTGCCATGGAAACCCAAAAACCAGGGACTCCCAGTCAGAGTCCCTTAGTTTCTGACCTAGAACAGCAGTGATGGGCCTTCAGGGGTTCCAGAACAATCTCCAGATCCAGGTCACTCAACCTAACCTCCTCAGTGAGCCTGACAATGAGGCTGATTGTCATTGTCAAACAGCTGCATACAACTTCCATGCCACTCCCAGTCCACGGGGAGTGAGATAAGGATCTGCCCTCCACTCCCCAGTCTCACCTAACTCTCCTCTGTCCCTGCCTGTGGTCAACAGCAGCCCAGATTTGGGCTTCTGCTGTCAATTGAGCTACGAAAACCAGAGAGACTGATGCTTTTGAGTCACTCAATTTGTGAATGCAATAAAAATAACCCCTTCTACTACTGCTTCTCCAAAGCAAGAAAATCACTTTGCCACGAGAACTTACCATAACAACCCCCTGCCTCATGCTGGCTAGGATGACGTGGAGAAGAGAAGTCCAGCCAGCGTGACCCAGGAGACCCAGGTTCTCCTCTGCTCGGCCCCCTACATGTCCCATGAGCCTGGCCCTGGCTTTGCTGATCATTGCCTGAGCTCTGAAACCTTCACAAAGTGGGGTTCTCTTCTTCTCCTCAGATCACATCCTCGAGGAATTCCTGGATTCCAGGTGCAGGAGAGGACTCTTCCCATTAAGGACCTGGCTCTCAGGCTCATCACCTCCTCACTTTCCCCAATTTAAGCCCACAGATCTTAGTTGTTTTGCAACTATAGTTTTTGTTGTTTACTTTTTTGGGGGGGGCGGGGGGATATTTGAAATCATCTTAGTTCTTTGGGATCTAGTGTCTATGACCCCACCTTCATTATCACAGAAAACCCTGATATGACAGGACAATTTACAGAAAGCCCTGTCCTTTCTTCAATGTCAGCATACACAGCAGTTACCAAATAAACCCGATCAGGTCCCAGTGTGTGTTGGGTGACATATCTTGGATGCCACCAAGTTAAGGAGGGAGGATGAATCTCAAAAAAAGAGATTCATAGTAATGTTTTACTCACCAATCTTCAGACTGAAAACAATGATAAAACTAGAATAAAATAGTAAAAAACGACAATAAATACATCATAGATTCAGAAGACAAAAGGATAAATCTTCAGAATAGCCATTAAGGGCAAATGAAAGTGCAGACTGGTCAGCAGGAGGGGGGACGTGTTTTCTCTGACAGCGTTGTATTCTAGTGGCCAAGGGAGATGCCAAGCAGCAGTACTTGCGCAGTGGGTGTCGGGGGGCTAACAGGAGTCCCTCACAACAACAGCAGCAACAATAACAGTGACAACACCAAGAAAAGTCACCCTGTCAGGGTATCCCATATAGACTTTTGCTATTCGTGAACCAACAAGGCTCATTGCAGGATTTTGGGTCTTGAACATGGTTCAAGATGATCTTACACCAATAGTGACCCCAGACACATGGCAGCAGCAAAGTTAAATGTGAGTTAATCCTGAAATATTGGGCAACATAAGGATTGTGCAATACATCCTGCATTTAGCAGCCTGGAGGTCATTAGCTATCTGGAGACAATTAATATCTCAGCCTGTATCTACAAGAAGAGACCTATACATTGAATGATTCTCAGAGTGACACCAGAGATCCATGTGGAAAATCAGAATGCCCTCCAGGAGTGCTTGGTGGATTCAGAGGGGCTTGTGGACCCTGGATCTGAGACCAGCAGGGATGCTGTTGGACGGGTCCTGAGAGGGCAGTGTCCTGGGCAAGGCAGGCACATAGAATGCTCTACTGGCTCTTTCATACTTGGGCAAACAGGGTCCCCACTGAAGTGTGGCTCTTCTGTACCCTTGTTTGTTTGTTTGGTCAAAATCCAGATTCTCATACCCACTACAGAGAACATGGTCTATAGCACATAGCCCCATCCTCCCAATTTGTGCTCCCAAAATCTCTCCTTGACAGCAAAACATTATGTGATAGTGTCACTTTTATCAGATATATCTCATCGTGGGGCACCATGGGGACAGAGTTCATGGTAGGTCAGGGAAAAACCAGGGACACACAGAGTCCAGCTGGGTCTGATACAGGATAGCCAAATTTGCATGTCCATCCATCCACACTATTCACTGAACACCAATTATATGCTGGGCTTGGATGGGGGATAGGAACCATTAGAGAATTTGACAAGGAAGATAAAGAATCTGATTAATTTATGAAGTCCAGCTGTTCATAGAAGATGAGTCAAGAGGAGGTGAGTGAGAAAGCAGGGGCCTGTTGGGGTTAATGGATTTGGTACAAAGATCAGACCACAGTCCTAGATGAGGGATGGAGCAGGTGAGGTGGGGAAGGATGGTCAGACTCTGCATATATTTTAGAGGTTAGGAATGGGATGTGGGAAAGAGGTTTGGAGGCTGGTCCTTGGGGACTAGTTGAAATGTGAGTGAGCTGCACCTCCTGGATGAAGGTCTATGGACACAGGTGTTGGGTTGAGGTCCTGAGCTCATCCTTGTGATGGAAATATAGACAACAGCCTTCCTGCCTTGTTCAGTGGTGACAGGAATGTTGTAGTTATCAAGTGCATAATCTCAATAGAATTCACTCCTTCTCTGAGATTTATTTGAGTTGTGCAATCTCCATGATCTCACATGTCCCCAGGCTGACATCCCACATGGGTCAAAAATGTCCCTGCAGTCCCAGGCATCACACCCACACAATAAACCCTCCTGAGTGAGAGAGTTGCAATCCCTGATACATTGAACAGGAATCTCAGACTTCATGAGGACTGGACCAGAACACTCACACCGTGTCCCCTGACTCCATCATGGTAAGCAGGGAGGGGATTGTCTGATTGGTTTGGAAAATGAAAGGCCTGTCCCTGGAGCTGGTGCTGGGGTGAATCACATGCCCACCACATGACTGGGAGATTTACGGTCTGAGAGGACATGAAAGGACAGAAGGTTTCCCTAAGTGGTCACAGCATGTGCGTCATCTGCTCTCCACCATCGTCATTAGTTCTTGTTGGGTCTTCTACTGTGCACACTGGGAGCTGGGCAGGGGACACAGGCCGGGGGCACCTGTCTCATAACACTCTGCTTCTGGCGCCCTGATCTTTCTAATGTTCTGCAAAGGATGAGTCTCAGGAGAAAGCACACCCACTCCAATCAGTGAGGCCCCAGGCTGAAATTCAATAGTCTCCAGAGAGAGAGAGAAAGGAGCAAAACTCTCTCATGAGGACGTCCTATCCCAGAGGGAGTGAGAAGTGCAATTACATCTCAAGAACCTACATTAGTGGCCCCTGCCTGCCATCGCCTGGCTCTTCCCCTGCAACTGCTTCCTCTCTCAGATGAGGACCAGTCACAAAGGCCCAGCTCATGGATGTCTAGACACACACTCCAGTCTGGATCCCTTCTGTCCCCCTCCCCAAGAGAGTGATTGCTCAGGTCACTGAGGGCTCATTGCTGAGATTCGCCCCCTCACAGGGCCCGGGTCTCAGGGGCTCTGTCCCAGTTACCTTCCTCTTCTGTCCTGGAGCTGGGATCAGAGTTAGCCTGACTCTAAAAAGTGAGCACCTGACTCTCATACAAGTAGAGAATGAGAATGTGAAATATTTTATTCAACTCATACATTAGTGAGGAGACAAGTAAATGGTAAGAGTTGGTGAAAGAGCATAGCAAAAACCAAAGTCCTTACATTCTACCAGGAACAGAACCTTTGAAGCAAAGTCTTTGAGTGTTGGAGATGTGCTCTTCAATCTCTAACAAGGGAGGAATCACATAAGAGGAAAGAATCTGTGTCTTGTACAAAAGGGGACCTGCCTCCATGGGGCCAGTCAGTGCTCTGCACTTGATCCTGATCTAAGAGGAGTTTGTGTAAGAGACACCCCCTCAGTCCTGGCAACTGAACAGCTAAAGGAGTTGTGGACAGACTCACTCTTGAACAGTCTGAGTAGAGACTGCCCTGAGGGGATGTGAAGGATACACAAAGCGTCACCTGGCCTGACCCTAAAGCAGAGGCACAGTGGACAGAGCAGTGGGAATGCAGGGACTGTCTCTGATGGGCTTTGGAGACCTGAGACACAATTGTGGGTCTGTGCCTGGACACCAGGGTGCGCTCAGTGCTCATTCCTGAGGTTCCTGAGGCTGATCATAGCTATGAACAGCCACCTGGCACTGCCTGGTACCCTCTGCTCAGGGTTCACAGCTGTGAACTCCCCACCCCCTGGCCATCCTTAGGCAGTGGGACCTGACACAAGGCCAGTAAGAGATGATCAGAAAGCTGAGCACTCTGCTTTGCATGTGTGGGCCCTCCCTCTCTCAGAGTATGAAGAAGGGGTGGGAGAGATCAGGGGAAGCTCTGCTTCAGCTGTGGGGCCACAGAAGGCAGGACTCGGTGACAATCTCCACCATGGCCTGGTCCCCTCTCCTCCTCACCCTCATCGCTCTCTGCACAGGTGACTAGATTGGGGGACAAGGGAAGGGGCCTTGGGAAGATGCGTGGGACCCTGCTTTCTCCCCTTGTCTCTAGTCCCTGGAATCACCATCTCTGTGTCTCTCTCACTTCCAGGATCCTGGGCCCAGTCTGTGACTCAGCCCGCCTCAGTGTCTGGGACCCTGGGCCAGACAGTCACCATCTCCTGCTCTGGAAGCAGCTCCAACATCGGGTATAGTAGTAGTTATGGGGGCTGGTACCAACAGATCCCAGGAACAGCCCCCAAACTCCTCATATATGAGGGTAACAAACGAGCCTCAGGGGTCCCAGATCAATTCTCTGGCTCCAAGTCTGGCAACACAGCCACCCTGACCATCTCTGGGCTCCAGGCTGAGGACGAGGCCGATTATTACTGTGTTTCCTATGACAGCAGCCTGAGTAGTGACACAGTGCTGCAGGCCCGTGGGGAAGTGAGACAAAAACCTGCTGTCCCCTCAGCGATGGGGCTTCCCTGTGCAGCCCCCATTCCTTGGCCACGTCAGCTTATTCCTTTGTTTGTGTGGCCAAAAGCAGCTCTGAGACTCAGTTCAGGGAACTTTCTCTTGAACATGTGTGCTCATGCTCTCAATATCTGCCCCCACAACTTGTCCCTGGTTTCAATCCATTTTCTGCTTTTCTCTAATCGAGCAGACATTCCTGGATGCTGGGGCAGGCTGCCCTGGGGACAGAGTCCACCAGGGGTGTGTGAGTCTGCCAGGGCTGCCATAGCATAACACCACAGATGGGGCAGATTAACCAACAAACATGTGGTTCCTTACAGTTCTGCAGGCTGGAAGTCCAAGATCAAGGTGCTGGCAGGTTTGGTTTCTCTTTGGCTTGCAGATGGCTGCCTTCTTGCTGTGTCCTCACAGGGCCTTTTCTCTGTGCACTCACCCCTGGTTTTCTTCCTCTTCTTATAAACACACCAGCCCCACTTGTTAGGGCACCACCCTTATGACCTAATTACCTTAATTACCTCCTTCGATGCCTTATCTCCAAAGACAGTCACAACAGGGTTAGGGTCTCAGCATAGGGTTTTGAGGGACACAGTTCAGCCCATATCAAGGAGTCAGGGCAGAAACAGGGAAACAAAGTCCAGCTGTGTTTGACTCAGGCTACTTGACGCTCCAGATTATGTGCATCCACACCATTTACTGAACACCTACTATGGGTCAGACTTGGGTGTAGGGGCTCAGGATAGTAGGTGGACAAGACAGGAAGGGTCTCCATGCTCCGGGTGGTGACACTGTCTGGGAGAAGAGAGAGTACAAACGAGCACAAGACACTGTACAGGATAGATGTCCTGGGAGATTGAGGAGTGGTGAGCTTGGTGGGATGGAGATGGGAGCATTAGAGGGGTTGTCAGGGGAGCAACAGAATCTGATTTGTTTATGAGGCCAAAGTGCTGCATAGAAACTGAAGGAGGAGGAGGTTTGGATGTAGGTAGGGACTAGGTAGGAACTGGGAACCATACAAATGTTAGACGATGGGTCTGGTTAATGGGTGGAGCAGGTGGGATAGAGAAGAAAATTCGGATAACCAATGGCTTGGAGGAAGGAGGGATTGAAGGATGGGTTTGGGAAAAAGAGGGACCGAGGCTGGGCTGTTGGGAGCAGTGTGCGTGGTGGGTGAGTCAATCTATTCAGACAATGTGATGGCCCCATCTAGTTGAGGCTGGATTATTTGACGCTCACATTTTCAAGAGATATGATCAGCTCTGACAAATGGGACTACTCGTTAGGAATTCTAGTAATGCACATCTCTAGTTTACTCTCGTTTTACATTTGATGAAAACTTCACCTGTGCCTGTTCAATTTCAGCGTGTTTTTAGAGGGAAAGTACATGAAGGATGAACTTAGTCCCTTTGTTCTCAATGCTGCCATCATATTAGAAACTTTCCAGTTATTAAAAGCCAGAAAATGACACTTTCTACCAGATTACTTAATCTGAACCTCATTAGTGGGATTCTGTAACGGGTTCGTGTTTAAATGCTTCTAGAGGGTTGATTAAGCAAAAAGGATTCATAATGCCCACTTGGCTTCAATTCTCATTTACTTGAGGAAGAAAATCGACCAACAAGACAGGATAGGTTGAAGACACCAAGACGTGGCTCCAGATGGGAGCTCAGGCCTCAGAGCAGGGGGTCTGCTCTCCCACCAGGCAAGGTCAAGGCACATGGTCCACACATCATGGTCCCAGTCATCCCCTGTGGGGACTGGAAGGCTGTGTTGGGAAGCAGGTGTTAGGATGGTGTCATGTCCCAGGCAGGCAGAGTTTAATAGGAGAAATCAAAAAAACTCATAGAAACCAAAGTGTGATGGACGCAACTAAAGGAAGACAACCCCTCAGCACAGTGATGAGGAGGACTTAGGCAATGCTTTACCCTAGAATAAAAAGAAAATAGCGGGTGGATGGGTGTGTCTCCCTCCTGGGCACTGGACAGTTTCCTTGTTGGGCAGGGTTGGCCCTGAGCCACATCTGATAAGGGCTGTACTGAGACAGAAGTTTGCTTCAACGTCCAGAACTGGTGCCAGTCTCAAGGCCTGCTTCTTGGGACTTCGATGGGCATGTTCCCAGCACATTTCCTGGGCAGGCCGGAGTGCCCACAGAGCGGTCTGCACAGGGCTGGGGCCAGGGCACAGAGCTGCCTCCAGATTCCCAGTCAGCCTAAAGATAGCAGGACTGCCTCCAGGGGCACTGATGGGTATGTGTCTTGTCTGCTGCCTGGATGGGCAGGATTGCTCCTGTACTGTGACTAAGAGGGGCTGGAACTGGATCATGGGCTGCTTCAGGGTTCACAGCCAGGGACACATTTGTCAGTGCTGCTAACAGAGGCATGGGCAGGAGTGACTTCTGCTGGGTCTCTGGCCAAGTGGTGCAGGTGGCAGGAAGAAGGCAATAAAGTGATTTGCCATGTCCCCAGGGGCATGGTGTTGTTCTGGGCCTGTTGCCAGGACCCCCTGAGCACGGGCCTGCCTTCTCAGACACCACTCCTCAGCCTTGGGTTCCGTCAGGATTTCACAGTCTCCTACCTGGATCCAGAAGCTCCCAAAAAGGCACTTTTGTCAATGGATGGCTGCCAAATCATGGTTGCTGAGGAGGGACATGAGTGGAGGACCTCCTATTCCATCATCTTGCTGAGGTCACTCGCCTGTCAAGGAATATTCCAAAATTTTAGGTAACTTATTTATTATTTTGTTCTCTTATGGTTAGTAATTTTTGTGTTCAATCTAAGATGTCTTTGTCTATTCCAAGGACATGAAGATGTGACTATACTTTTTCTTAGAACTTTTATGATTTTAGCTTTTATATTTATGACTATGATTCAAATCAAATGGAGTTTTACATATGGGATGAGGCAGTGGTCAGTGTTCACTATTTTCATACCAATGGTTTGTGGTCCATTAACGAAAAACCAGTGATTATTTCAACAGAAAAAATTTGATAAAAATTCGAATCTTGTTTGTGATTTTGAAACAATCTCTCAGGAAACTGGAATCAACGGGAAGTCCCATTTCCTGATGGAAGACAGAAAAATAAATAAGTCAACTAAAATAATTATTCTGAGTCATTTTATATTAGAATTTCTCCATTCAAAACGGAGATAAAACAAACATCATGTGTCAAAGAAGCGATGTCTTAGAATTGCTGAGAGCAGTGCCCTGGGTACTGCAGTGGATGTTCTAGATTGTGAGCTGCTCCACAGGCAGGGAAGCCCTTGTCTGTCACAGTTTTCAAATGAAATGCTCATGAGGAACAATTCTCCAGGTTCTGTAATGAGTCACATCTTTACAGATTCTCATATAAAAGATGTTCTTGAATTCAAATGCTACAAAATCTCTTCTTACAACGGTTTATCCTGGATGTCTGACGCAATCCAAGGACAATACTTCACAAACCAAATTGGAAATAGGAAACATTTAAATAAAAATTAATAACACAATATACATCCACTTCTCTGGGGAATGTAAACAGGGTCAACTAATCAGAAAAAAAATGATAGTAAGTATCATGATTGTGTCCTTTCTTCAGTATTTCTATCCTTAAATTTTATGTAAGAGAGTATGTACCCTGGGGGTTCAGTTTATGTTTGCAGATTTCCTTGTAAATTATTATAATACAAACACACAATTGCTCCTGTTAGTATCTCCAGCAGGTGATGTGTGAGCCTGGTCCTGAAGGAAGGGGACAGCGATGGGACAGGAGGACCAGAAGTGCTCACTAGAAGGGGGCACTGGGGTTGAGGGTTAAGTATCCTCTTAGCAAAGGAGCCCCACATGTGCTTTTGTACAGGCTCCAGGGGAGAGGTAAGGCAGGAAGGGGGAAAAATTATGGACACACACACACAGAGACTTGAACGTGACATTCAACAGCTTTACATAATCTTGATGGGGAGAGAAACTTTGGGGAAGTTTTGAGCAGGGAGGTGGCTTTATCAGATATATGTGTTTCCAATATAGCTCTAATTACAGAGTAAAGCATGGAATACAGTGGGCAAACTGTGGGACACGGCCACACTGAGAGACTCTGCAAGGCCGGGGGAGTAGGGCTGGGCTCCTGCGCAAGGCTCCTGGAATGGCGCAGAGCCATGTGCAGTTGAGGGGAGGCTGTGGTCCGAGCACAGTGAATCTCAGTGTCCACGTCCTGAGGGAAGTGAGGGGCTCTCAGCCAGCAGGAGCAGGCTCCAGATGCCCAGAGAAATTCTGTGAGTCTGTGCATTGCGTGTTTCTCCTGCTGGATCTAGGCTCCAGGTTAATGGGAATTTCCTCCTGTTATGTCACTGTAATATCTACAGAGCCCAGAAACTGTGGCACAATGGGCAAAGTCAGCACATATTTGTTGGAAGAATATTTGAATTCTCCTGAATTGCACACCTTGGTGAAAGCAGATCTGAGGCAAAGATAATGATTTCTGCTTTCTGGATATTTTGACTCTGGAGTTCTGAGTCAAATTAAGAGGAAAAGTTAAGTAATAACGGTGATCTTATTGTTTATAGAACAGAAGAGATACATGCACTTGATCCTGGGGATATGAACTGCACTCCATAGATTTATGCAAAGGAAGAGGAGAAGGATGCAAAGGGGCCTGCAGGGACTGAATAAAGAAACCACGGGGAGCAGGTGGATGAGGGAACAAACTGTGAGCACAGGTGACAAGCTCCAGGAGCAAATAAACTGCAGAGTGTTTGTGAGCTGGATGGA